GTTTCCCTGAGTGGCTGCTCCAGTTTGCATTCCCACAAACAGTGTAAGATGCTTCCCCTTTCTCTGCATCCTCACCAAAGTCTGTTATCTCCTGTGTTGTTAATTTTAGCTATTCTGACACATGTGAGGCCCACACCTAGCAACCTTGAGATAGGTCAAGATAAGGGAGAGCTATAAAATTTGACCTGGACTCTATCAATGCCCAGGTACCTCTGAACACCATTTCTGCTACTAGCTCAGTGACCTGGATTTTCCTCTTCCTATCTCAGGTCCTTCCCTCCAGATGACTACATATATCTTCATGTCTCTCTTCCTCTCTTCTCCACTTCTTTCACTTTCTCCAATTCTTGTGGCTCCTCTAGTTACAGAGTGTTTTCTCTCATCCCTCCCCCACCTTTTTATGCTTCCAGATCAATTTGCCTATCTTCAAGATTCCGCCTTCTTGTCTTGTCACTTTCTCCCTGGATGTGTCTTTTAAAAAATATAAGAAATATAAGAAAAACTAATTCAATTCAGAAATAAATAAATAAATAAAGAGCAGATCCGAAGTGGCACATGAATATACCTGGTTGCATTTTTTTTTAAACTTTGCATTTGTTTTTGTTGGTGCCATGAAGACATAGCTTCCCCTCTCTAAAGGAAACCATACTAAGGCCTCATGTCCTCTCTTGTTATTGGCAGGCCCCCCTTCCAACTGGGTAGCTTTATACAGTCTCGTCCATTAAATGCCAACTGTTTGAAAAAGAAGGAAGAGTTTGTGATCGAGGGGCTTAGAAAATCATGTCCAAAGTGGAATTGGTGGTTGGGTAAAGATTAGCTGGAGGAAGGCCAAGTGGTTGGGTAAAGATCAGCTGGAGAAAGCCCAAATGGGAGAACAGAAACTTCATACTTCCACCCTGTGGTGCACAGGCAGGTGCGCTTCTGGCCTCCCTCTCCAAGGAGAGTGGGAGGCTGAAACCACAACAGTACCACTGAGGTTAGAAGGAAGGGGTTACTTTAAATGAGAGATGCTCATTCTCCCCTAACCAGCAGCAACCTCTGAGAGTCCTGCAGCTCAAGGAGCCTCATACCAGGAAACCCTCAACTTCTACTATTTCCTCCACTCCTCTCTCAGTCTCCCAACCCCTGTAAGAGTTCCTGCCTCACCGCAGGAGGACAGGCCCTGTTGGGTGTGGAGAAGACCCTATTTAGCATGTTATTGCAGAAATCACAAGGAGAGAGGAAAAAGGACAAGGTGCCCAAGAAGGACACCACAGCGGCTGGGAAAGGATGAACGGTCTGCTCTTTACAAACTTCACAGTACTAATTTCCATTCCATCCTAGATCAAAATGTTCTTGTCTCAAATGGGGAAGAAACTTATTTTTATACCCCTCCTCCCAACGGTGTTGATGAATAAGTCAGCTGGTGTATCTCCACTATGGGTGATAACCACCTGCCCACTCTGAGGAAGGAAACATCACTGCCCAAGTTCTTCGACATCACCCCATGTCCAAAGCAGAAATGTCTAGCAGCTCTTTACTGCCTCCAGTCTGGGCCCTAACCAACCCTGGATTTGGAGTTCTCGTGCTCTGACCCCATAACTTTCTACAAACACATCCACCATCTCACAGCCTTCACCAAAACACCTCTCACAGGCCCCAACCTCCTCCACCAGCCATATCATTTTAGTGCTTTTGATAAGCTAAGATGTTATTTACCCAGTCTGGAACCCCCTTCTTGAAGACTGGAACACCAAAGCCCAGAGGAGCTAAGTGCCTCATCCATATGCACACAGCCCTGCGTGGCAGAGGCAGGCCAATGACGGCTCTCTCAGGACAGCATGGTCAGTCCTGGGTTGCATCTGCCCCCTTTCACACTCAAGTGTCCCAGTTTAGACCATACATGATGTATGGTCACTCTATTTTGTAGAACATCTATTGTACCAGGTTAGCTGTTGAGTGAGGTGGAGTCAGGGATGACACCAGGAGTGACACTGAGCCAGTCCTACAAGAAGTCACTGGAACCCTGGGGATTTGGCCCAAGGCCACATGAGCTGGGCCTCAAACCACAGGCAGAAGTCTAGCAGGTTAAGCAGGGAGAAAAGTTGTGCCAAGAGTAGGACAAGTATAAGCAAGTCAATGGACAGATGTCTGGTGAAAAGTGCCCTGTGCCTCACCCTGAGAATACCAAGACAGGTGGGCCACAGGCCCTGACCAGAGAAGCTTGGGACAATTTCAGAAGAGTAAGGCATGGGGGCAAGAGGACTGGTAGAAGGGAGTGTAAGAGGAAGATTCTTACCACTACTCTCCAGCCTGAGGACAGGGACTGGTCCAGAGCTTCAGAGAGCAGTTCCCTGCTCAAAGCCCTCGGTTCTGTTTCCTAACCTCCCAGACCTCTCCTTGACTGCAGCCCTCTTAAACATCGATTTGTCTGGGGCACCAGGGTGGCTCAGTCAGTTAAGTGTCCAACTCTTGGTTTCAGCTCAGGTCATGATCTCAGGGTTGTGAGATTAGAGCCCCAAGTCAGGCTCCATGCTCAGTGGGGACTCTGCCTAGATTCTCTCTCTCCCTCTGCCCCTACCCCCTGCTCTCTCTCAAATAAATAAATCTTTTTTAAAAAATAAACATGTTTACTGCCCTGTATCACCTGTTACCTTTATCCACCTGTGTTCCTTAACTCGATGTCCAACCCACGATTATTATACTTTCTGGTATTCGTAACAAGTCCTACCACAGTGTTTGCAACTCTAGGATCCTGCTAAATATTTAACAAACTACACCTCCTTCTGCCAGCCAGCGAAATGGTCCCCTGGTTCCCTTAATTAAGGGTACAGTGCAGTGTCACAGCCTAGGGCCCAGGGATGGTGGACAGAGTGGAAAACCAAGGCTCAGAAGTGGTGGTAGAGGGCAGCCAAAGGGACTTCCCAAGAGGGCAATGTGCAAGGAGGCTGAGGCAGGGTAGAGGGACAGGGCACTAAGGAGGACAAGGAAGGAGGTGAGTTCTGAGGAGAATAGGGCATCAAGAAGCACAGAACATGGGGCGCCTGGGTGGCTCAGCCGTTAAGCATCTGCCCTCGGCTCACGTCATGATTCCAGGGTCCTGGGATCAAGCCCCGTATCGGGCTCCCTGCTTGGCGGGAAGCCTGCTTCTCCCTCTCCCTCTCCCCCTGCTTGTGTTCCTGCTCTCAATAACTCTTCTCTGTCAAATAAATAAAGAAAATCTTAAAAAAAAAAAAAAGCGCAGAACATCTGGCCTCAAATGACCCTGGTGCCCCCCCACACCTGAAGCAGTTTTCACACACGACAGACCATCCCGAGCACATGAGCGATGCAAGAAGCCCAGGTGGGGACAGGCAGGGTTGGACTCTGATGCATACACCCCATTTCCTACCCCCCCCCTCCACCCCAGGCTCCCAGGACCACCTGCCAAGTGTGAAGGAGGCAAACCTCACAGGCTTGCAGGAAAATCAGGACCAAGACCCAGCCGACTCAGATTGCTCTCCATCGCCGTTCTGGTGCCTGCTGCCCTCTGCCGACAAGGCAGGACCGTGACATCCTGAGAAGCCCGCCTTCGCTCCGCACACGGAGGCAAAGGGTGACTCCCCCAAACCTCACTGGGACCTTTATAAAAAGGCCTCCTTCCCTAACACTAGACAGAAGGAGGCCTCCTAATTGAAGCTCACCGCATCTGGAAGCCACTAATACGGCTCACTGTGGCTAACACCCCCTGACCTGGCGTAGTGGTAGGCGCACCTAGAGGTGGTAAAATTGGAGGTTAGAGAAATTTGAGAACAGTCCCCTGGAGATGTGGAGATGTGATCATAGGGCTGTGGATACAGATGCTGACCTCCCAACCAGGGTCTAACAAAGTAACCTGGCACAGATTTGGACTGGGGGGAGGAGGGAGATGCAAAAGCATGTTTACTGAATATTTAAGTGTCGGGCATGTATTAAGTGCTGGGGAGACTGAGGCCCAACTGCTCACTTGGAGAGGACATAGTTCAGAAGAACTTACTACTCAGTGTTACGACATCATACAGGAATGGGGAAAATGAGACACCCCGCCCCCCAATTTGACCATCTCTTGTTCATTTTAAAACAAAATTCCTTGAGCCTCCTGATATTTCTCAGCTCCCCTCCCCAGTAAAACTTCCTAAGGGTGACTACGCCCACGCCACTTTCTCACCTCTGGTCCCTGTGGACTCAAGTCCAAATGTCTCCATTCACTTCTACAAGGCTGGGGGCAAACTAGGCATCCCCACAATGCCTGTATTCTCATCTGTGAAAACAGTCATCGTGCTACCTACCTCATAAGGCTGTCGTGGGAACGGGTAAATTCACATGCCTGGCACAAGACACACTGGGTAAGTACAAGACACTATTGTTAGGATGGGGGGGGCATATTTGCCGTGGCTGTTTTCTTCCACATGGAAGCAGCACCATTAGCTCAACTGTCCTGCCAGCTCTCCACTCTTATCTCGTAGGTGATTTGGTGAGAACTGGGTGGGCACAGCCAGCCCTTCTTTTCTGGGGCTCCTTCACACCAAGAGACTTGCAGGACTGGGCAGGGAAGGATGACCCTGGGGTGTCATCTCAGAAAGCCTACTTGTCCAAGGACACAGACCATGCATTCTCATTAACAACTTTTCCAGTAATAAAGGGAATATTTTGGCACCCATCTGCCTTACCACACTTTATTTCTCAATTGGGAAGAGAGGTCAGTTGAAGGGCATTCTGATAAGCAAAATGGTAGATTAAGTCCAGTGATGTTGCAATGGGAAGAACAGGATCAGATACCATTTACATTGTTTAGAGGGATGACTGTCTTTTTTGCTGTTATGAACTGAACTGTGTCTCCCTCGGAATTCATATGCTGAAGTTGTAACGTAGTCAGAACATGACTGTAGTTGGAGATAGGGTCCTTGCAGAGGTGACTAAGGTAAAATGAGGTCATTTGGGTGAACCCTGATCCTATAGGACTGGTATCCTTGTAAGAGAGAAATGTGAACACAGACACGTACACAGGGAAGATACAGATGAAGGCACTGGGAGAAGACACATCTGCAAGGAGAGAGACCTGGAACCGATCCTTCCCTTACAACCCTCAGAAGGCACGAGTCCTACTGACAGCTTGACCTTGGACTTATCCTCTGGAAGTGTGAGAAAAATAAATTGGTTAAAAAAAAAAGGCCAGGCTGGGAAAGGCAGTGTCACACCTGGACCGTACCTGCAGTGCATGTTCAGGACACAGCGGCTCCCGATGGCCCATCTGCCATCTGAGATCACCGGGGTCACTGCTCTGCCCTTCCATCCCAACTTCTGGCCTCCGCTCTGCCCAAGGGCCTTCAGGACACCCATTCCCCATCAAGTTTCCGGTGGGTCTCCTGCCCTCCTCCCTGCAGTGCCTTCTCCAACCCTTGGCTGACCCCCTCCTCACCTGGCTCGAAATGTAGGCGCACCTCTGGGGCTGAGGCTGACGGTGCTCAATCCAAAGCTTTCACTCTACACGTCCACGGCTCCTGAAGTTCTCATCCCTCCCCGACCTGATTCCACTAGATATTTCACAGGCTGTGGGTCCAAACACACTCAAATCCTTTGCACCCCACAACAGGTTAAGTCGTGATTTGAGTGTCACCTTTCATCTATATTAAATTTTAGATAGACAACAAAAAAAAACTTAGTATAAGTACGTCCCAACATTGCAGGAGGCAAAAATTCTACCTGAAGTTTAAGTCTCTTACAACCCTACTCTCGTCCCTCCCCTTCCTTCACGCCTACGTCGACACACCCAGGATTGGCACCCCCATCTTTCCTAGACCACCAGTGGCTGACAATGTCCTCCCCACCCTGCAGACCCCTCCTTGCCTGGCAGGTGGGAGGAGGGGACATCTCCCCTGCCCTGACTCCCCCAGCAAAAGAGCCCCCCACACACACTCTGCCCTTCTCTTCCTCCCTCCCGACAGGCACAGCAAACATTACTGTTACATAAACTATTTTATTTAAATAAAATCAGGGGCATACCCTTCTCTCTCTCGCACACTCACACTCACACACGCACTCCCCCAGCACACGCACACACACAGGCCCACGTCCTCCCTCCCTTTCTTCCCTCCACCATGGCCACCTCAAACCCAGTGGTTCTCATAGTGACCACCTTGGCAGAGGGAGACACCCTCCACGTGGAAGCCCACTCCTCCCAGTTGACCAGAGCAGCACAGTGCCCTAGGCACAAGCAATCCTGCCCGGAGTCCAGCTCTCAGGCCTCTCAGGGTGGGAAGGCAGGAAGGACCAGTTCTCCCAAGGCACCCAGATCTGGCGTGGCTTCCCCACCCTTCCCCCCAAATAGCCCAGAGCACCACCAAACCCCCAGAGCTGCTCCCCATGGAGGGTGGGTCCCCTCACCCAGGGCAACCCCTCCCTGCATCAGAGAAGGCTCTGCAGCCAAACTTGAGCACTTCCCCCTAGGGATCCTGGAGTAGGTATCGTTTGGTTTGGGAAAGAGAGAGGGAGAGCAACTGAGCACCAAATTCCCTAACTCCACCCTGCAGGAGGGTGCTGAGATTCAGCTCAACATCCTCTACCCAGAAAAAGTAAACCCAACTCTGCAGCAGGAATGGCGAGGGCCTCAACCATCAGGACCTCATTACATGTCCAACTCCCAACATGGACCCTGTTAGAGACCCACGAGCACCTTAGCAATGTTAACGGCCCAGCCCGGCTGGGGGAAACACCATGCACATGGGAGCCTATTTGGAATGCGTGGGGTCCTCTTTGCTGACAGTGCGGTTGCGTTTCACCTTCTCTGACACTGGTACCCTTCCAGTCCTGCTTTGCGGGACACAGCAAAGTGGCTTCGATCATGAGGAGGGAGCACTGTAGGGATCAGTAGTGTTTTCCAGAGGCACACAGTCCTACAGTGCATTTTACAGGTTCCAGATGGGCAGGCTGGGACAGAGGCCTAGGGCACAGGGCTGCCAGAAGAGCTCTGTAGCATCCCTAGACCCCCTCGGGACATGGGGAGGTGGAAGGGACACCTATTTCCTCGAGCTAGGGGGCCAAGAGGCCAGGACCCAGCATCTCTGACGGGCTTCCCTGTGCCTTCTAGACCAAGTTCCCTGAGGGGAAAGCCAGACAGATGGAAGGAAAGCAGAAAGGGGGCAGCAAACGGCATCAGGCCATGAGGAGCTAGCAGGGAGAGGGCAAACGTGAGAGCCAGAGAGAAGCCTTCTGAAGGGGTAAGGCAAAGAGAGCTGCCACCTGCAAGGAGGGAACTGGGAGGGCAGGGACAGGGAGAAATCCACCAGAGACAAGGGCCAACCTGACCTCTCCAAGGGAAGCGAGGACCTGAGGAGAGGTAGCTTGGAGCCTGTCTGGCCCTACACGGGCCAGTGGTGCTGAAGAGAACGAGCCACCCTGAGCGTGGACTACAGGCTGATGCTTCGCTGGTGGCGGCCCCCCCGGCCCCCGCCCCGGGAGCCCAGCTCCTGGCCGTCCAGACTGGTGTGGTCTGAGAGGCCCCGCAGGTGCTCCACCGAGTCACACTTCTGCAGGTCCGAGGCCACCGTGCGCAGGCTCAGCAGGCTAAGTGTGTCTGTGTCCGGGGCAGGCCCAGGCCCCAGGCTACTGCCCTCCTCCAGGCCCCCGCCTTCAGCCCCCTCAATGATCCCACTGTCCCCGTCCTCCCCACCATCAGGCCCAGCCTCTGCCCCCACGGGGGAGGAGCGCCGCTGGCCTGGGCCATGAGGGGGCTGGCCCCGGCGCCGGGCATGAATCTGCTCGCTGATCTGCTCCAGGTTGCGCAGGGCAACTGAATAGCGGGTCTTGGCCTGGGCCACCTGCTGCTCCAGCTCTGTCACCTTGGCCTTGTGCTCCTGCAGAGAGAGGAACAGAGTGAGGCGATCCAACGGGCAGCTCCATGGCTCCTGGAGCCAAGTCCCTTCAACCTCACCAGCACTCTGCACAGTGCCTCCTTTCGCAGACCAGCCAACCCAAACCCGCGGGGCTCCACCCCGCCCAGCCCAGCCCCCCCTTCACTCCTCCTCTTTGATTCCTCTTCCCCAGCCATCCTGCCCTGCTCCTCACCTAAGCCTGACCTCTAAGACCTTCCCCCCAGGTCTTCATTCCCACCCACTCCTCCTCTCCCCACTGTTCCCTTCCCCTGGCTGGCCAGTTCCTTGTCCCCATTCTCCCTGGTTTCCCGATTCCCACTTCTTCTCATTTCCCTCCTTTCAATTCCATTCTCCGCCAGTACCTATTCTCCAAGCCCAACTCCCACTCCTGTGGGTCATTCCAAGCACCTGTCCCACCACACTGGTTTGGCAGATGGCCCAGAGAGGCATCCCTTGAACTGCCTTCACTCTCCATCCCTGCCCCCCTCCTGCCTGGTTCACATACCGTCCCCCTCTCCCACTACTCCCCTACCTCCAGAATCTGGCTGAACTGGGCCTTGAGCTCAAAGTAGGGGCGGCTCTTTCCAATGGCCCGCCGGAGCGTCTTCTGCAGGGCTTGGACCCGAGCTTCAGCCTGCTGGCACAGCCGAGTCACCCGCTGATGCTCCCGCTCACCACGAAGCCGCTCCTCCTCCGCTTCGTTCACCTGGCCCAGACGGGGCAGAAGACACACATCACTCACTGAGGACCCACGCTTCTGCCCCTCGAGACATGACCATCCTTCAGGAGCTGGCATTTGCTGCTAGAGACTAAATGTTTGTATCCCCCCAAAATTCCTATTTGAAATCCTAACCCCTAAGGTGATGGCATTGGATGTGGGCCCTCTGAGAGGTGATCAGGTTATGGGGGGGGGCAGTCTCAATGGGATAAGCGCCCTCGTAAAAGGTCCTGCAGAGCTCCCACGCACCCCCTTCTACCTCATGAGGACACGGTGAAAAGACCGCCAGCTGTCTAGGAAGCAGGAAGCAGGCCCTCGCCACCAGATACCAAACCGGCCTGCACCTGAGCTTGGACTTCCTAGCCTGCACAACTGTGAGAAATAAACTGCTGTTAAGCCACCCAGTCTACATTATTTTGTTGTAACGACCCCAATGGACTAACGTCTATACAAGGTGAAGGTGGCAGACTGCAGCTGATAGCAGGGTCCTCCCACTCCCCACTCTCCTTTGAGTAGCTGAGAAATGATACACAAACTACAATTCACAAGATACACTAGCAAAGCCCAAACAGGGCAGAGAGCAAGGAAGAGGTTTCGCCTGAAACAGAATCGAAGCTGAGGAAAGGCTGGAGTGGAGAAGAGAGATGAGGCAGGAGGGTGATGGGATGAAAGGAGAGCAAAGGAAGCAGCCGAACCCGAGAAGACCTGCTGGCACCGCCTGGCTCACCTTGCAGGTGGCGTGGTTGAGCATCTCTTGCCACGTGGGGTCCAGCCGGTTCTTGTCGGCCATGACTCCCTGCTCAGCCACAAACACCATCTCCCGGGCGGCGTTGTGCATGCTCACCGCCCGCTCGTACCGCAGCGCTGCCTTCTGGGTCTCCTGCTGGGCCTGGGAAGAGCGGGCCATCAGGGCGGGGGGCCCCATGGACCCCTGCCCGCCCGGGGAGACCCATCTTAGGAGGACGAGGACAAGAGGAGGAGGAAGGCCCAGTGCAAGGTCAGCTTCACTGCCCAAACGGCACTGAGCGTAAGTGCAAAAAAAAAAAAAAATTCTATAAAGAATATTTTGTAAGGATAGGACTTAAAAGAAATAAACGTAGAAACAAAGACTGGAAAACGATACACTAGAGGGTGAGTGTGTGAAATCAGCACTTACAAAGGCCACTGGCCTTTTTTACCCTAGGGAGAACAAAGAAAAATCCCCACCACTTTAGCTGCAAGGTGGTGAGCGACAGGGACCACGTCTCACAGAAAGCACGCCCCTGATTTCATCAACTCCAGTCCAGCAGGTAAGCTGAAGGAAGACAAGTGCTCAGAGATACTCGTCACAGCCATGCTTACCAAACAAAACAATGGAAACCAACCCAAGTTTTCAGTTAGAGGGGACTGATTAAATGAATAATAATAATAATGTAAGGAAATATTAGGCAGGTCTTAAAAATGACAGCATGGATGTATATTCATTGACATGGAACCATGTCATAATATAAATAAAATAAAGGAATAAAAATAACACATACCAGGTCATCTCATTTTGGCAAAATATATACCAAAAAAATTAAGGGGTTATCCGTGCTGTATTAACTATGTTTTTTATTTTCTATATTTTATGGTGCTCTGACATCTCGGGGGCCTTGCGGCCCTCCTAGGGCTAAGTCCTAAACACAGTAAACTCCTCTATGAGCACACTTGTCGAATGCACACCAACCAATCCAAATCCCACCACTCCCTTTATCTAACTCTCACACCCCATGCCAATGTCTCCCCTGCCCTATGTTACCCCTGGACCAGGTACCAAAACACAGAGACCACCGCTATGGCCCAGAGCCCGCATTTATTCAAGCTCTCTAATTCTGAATTTGCTCAATGTTGCCTACCCTGCCTTACCCATTCCTTCCCATTCATTATAAGCACAATAAAGGCTCTGAGCCAAGCTCTCCTCACGTGCCTTCTGACCCCTACGTGGTTTGGCATGCCCTTTCTTCTTGGAAATGTTAAGTAATAAACTCTTCTTTCAAGGCAGCTGTCTCTGTGTCTGCCACCTAACCATACTTGACGAAAACAAACCCTAGGTACAAAAAACATGAAACACGCACATGGTAGGATTTGCGGTCATTTTGGTTTTTTTCTTGTTTTATAGCTAGTTACATTACAGTCTCCCAATAATGAACCCACAGTATCTGTGCTTTAAAAAAAAGAGAGGGGAGGAAAAGGGTAAAGGAATGAAGGGATGAGCAAAGAAAAGAGACATGAACCAAAGGGAAGAGACATAAAAGAAAAAGGAAATGAGAAAGTGTTCTGTCTTCCACTCCACACAGAGACAGAAGAGTCCAGGGCCAGGCTCTGCATGCGGCCATTCTGCAATGCATGTCAGCTGGCCATACCTCCTTAGCAAGACGTCGAGCCTCATAGTAAGGCCGGGCCTTCTCGATGCAGCTCCCCAAGTGGGAACCCTGCGTGTTGAGCTTCCTTGCTGACTCCTGCAGGATCCTCCGATAGGTGGTCCTGGCCTCCTGGAAAAGGGACAGGGACATAGGGCAGAGGGAAGGCATATGGGTGGGTCCCAGCCCCTCTTGTTTTTCATACATGCCCCCTCCCCTGCCACCATATTGAACAGGGAGAGAAGGAGACACCTCCGAGACCAGCCCAAGGGTGTGAGGAAAAGGAGGAACACTCACATCCAGCTGCAGCTCCACCTGGTTGATCTCCTCGCTGGCCTGGTTCAGGTGCTCTAGCTCTTCCTGCCAGAGATGGGCAAAAAATTACAGCAGTGGAAAGTAGCCTCATGTGAACCATGTGGAGTGGGAGTGCAATGCAAGGAGGGAAAGTCCGACGACTAGAGAAGGGAAGAGATGCAGGAGGCTCTGCGGGATGGCTCCTGCAATCCGCACAACTCCACCTCTGCAACAGGTCATTAAACCCCCACTGTAACAATGAGGAAATTGACATTCAGAAAATGGAAGACACATATGCTGTCAGCAAAGTGGCAGCAAGCCTGCCCTCTTCATCAGACCGTGCCACCTTCTCTTTGTACTCCAGCCAGAAGGAGTCTCCTCGGAGCTAACAGTCTCTGTTCCTGGCAGAGAACACTACTCACTCATCACACGTTTACTACATACTCATCACAGCTCAGCATCATGAGACCCCAGAATTTAGAACACAAAGAGGTGGCAGCTCACAGCCCTGTAAGTAGCAGCAGGGCCTCGTCAGTGTAAGCAGCTGTAAGAGGCGGGCACGGTGTGGGCAGCAGGGTCACCTGCCTGGGCAGGACGCTCAGAGTACTTGCTCCTAGGCAGGGCGTTGATGGATACATAGAAAAGCACCAGGGACGGAGAGGGGCCAAGAATCAGAAGGAGAGCAGGTGCGCAGCTTGTCAGGTAAGAAGCCAGAAAGCCTGGGGCACAGAGAAAGGATACCGCAACTTTTCCCAATGGCAGGGGAAGCCTCCCAGAGCGTGGCACCACCTGGTCTGTGGTTTAGGAAGGCAGATCTGAGCAATATGAGGGAAGTTTACAAGGGCCGGGAGACAAAAGTGGAGGCTGCAATATTCCAGGAGGGAGAGGACAGGGCAGATACTGGACAAATGCAGGACATAGACTCATGAGGGTCTGACAGACAATTAAGGTCAAGACTAGGGAAGACCACATGGCTCAAGAGACCCCTGGGCCTGCTTCGGCAGTGGGCTGACAAGACCCCAGGTCCTCACACACAGATTCTGTGGCAGCGAGGGAGAACTTCAGGGAGAAGTCCTGAGTCCACCCTGCCAAGGACACTCCTGAGGAGGAGCAATGCCCGGTGAACTACCGGACACTCAGCTATGGGATTCTCTCCCAGGGGCCTTGCAACCCCTGGGCAGGGCAGTGGAACCCAGCCTCTGTCTGCTTGCTGCCCATGACCCAGACCTGACCTGCACCTGGCAGTGAGCGATGCTGTCCTCAGTGCTCCCACACACCTCATCTGGCCCTTCCAACAATCCAGGACATGACCCTCCTTTAGTCTTTTTATTTCTGTGCCTTTCCTCAAGCCCCAAAAGGTTTGAGTCAACAAATAAGAATCCAGGAAACCAAACTCTGTGCCCAAATTACAGCGAAAGGAAGAAACATATAACAGAACCAGGAACAAGGATACGGAAATATGCGCGCCTACAACAATGCAGACCCTGCCTCTAAGAAGGCCATAAATTTGGCTCTAAATTTTACAGAGCAGAACAGTCCAACAAAAATATGTGAGCCCCACATTGAATTTTTAGTTTTCTGGCAACCATTTAAAAAAATGCAAAAGCAAACAGGTTAAATTGTTAACAATACATTCCATTTAACCCAAATATCCAAAATATTATAATTTTAACATGTTAACAACATAAATTATAAAACATTTTTACATTCTTTTTAACATATGCCTTTGAAATCCTTGTGCATTTGACCCTTAGGGCACATCTCAACCTGACCAACGGCATGTGGCTCCCACACTGGACCCTGGGGGTCTAGAAGCTGGTGCACATTAGTCACACAACCCAGTGACCATAAGATCACAACAAAACACTGTGGAACCATAAGCAGATGACATGGCTCAAAGGACCCCAGAAGAGGCCCAGGGGCAGAGCCAGCACCACCAGACACACGAAGCTCTAGGTTTCACAGAGCCTTCCTACCCAAGACATCACCCTCAGTTGATGGAATCTCCCCAAGGGCCCTCAAAAAAGGCAGTTCCTGTCAGGATGAGAGGTAACCTCTCCCACTGTAAGCCTAGTCTCCTCTGGCTTGATTAGACCGCAGCGGGTTTCAGACTATCTGGGAGAAGAGGTAACGGTGCTTTCAGCAGCTCCTGCAAGAATATTCTCTCTCAGCTCATTCAAATTCGCTAGGTAAGAAACAATGAAGCGGGGAATTAGGGGCAGAACTGAAACTGGATCTGGGACCTGAGGAGGAATCTGGCTTTCCTGCTATTGTGACCACCATCCTAGGACTAAGGACATCTTGGATGGATGTCTCAAGAAGACAGGAGTACAATCACCTAGAAAAACCACAGTCCTGGTAGGAAAAAGACATGCATGCCTCAGGAGGCAACAAACTGATTCTAGAGGAGAGGAGGTCAGTAAAGGCCATCCTGCAACATTCCCATGGGCAAACCAAGGTCCAAGACTGGATCCCACTCAGTTCCACGGCCCAAAGTGCTCCCGGATCCTAACAAGGTCATCACAGCAATGAATGGCTCTACATAAATCATCCCCACTGGAAAAAGGATGTGAAGGGCTCCGGCTATCGGCAAAGGGCAGGAGCGGGCTCATCTTTCTGTAAGGGAACTTGCGCCCACACAGCACTTCCAGCAACTAAAATCTCTTGATGATGAGGTCCACCACCCAGTCGCAAAGCTCTTACTAACAGGACCAGGAGACCGGGGAACAGAACAGGCTAGAGGGCAGGGTGGACAACCAGGCTGGGGCAGACCCAGGGAAGGCTGAGCGGGAAGCCAATGAGCACTCAGGGCTCTGTTTTGGGAAGTTGGCAACACATTCCGTTTGGCCTGCTCCACCAGGGACTCCAGGCACTCGGCTGAAACAGAATTTGAACACCATGAAGTCTGAGTCAGCACGCATCATCCATCAGTGAGCCTGCAACCAGCAGGGAGGGGGACCTTCCCGGGGCACACCGGGCGCATTCCAAAGATGCCAGGCCACTGAGTCAAAGGCATGGATGCTCAGCCCAGATGCTCCTGCCCACCTTGTGCAGGCCATTAAAAGACACAAGCCCATGGTGATGCAGGGCCAGGGTGATCCATGGCCCAAGGACTGAGAAATATGGGAACTATGACTGTCCTGTGAGAGATAACCTGATACTTTGGATGAGGATGAAGAGATTGCCAAGTCACTCTGAAGAGTCTACGGCGGAGGTAAGTGACTATACCACTCACCTGAGGATGAATGCGCCCATCACAAGAGGAACTGAGAAAGTCACAGGGGAAGAGACGCAGACCCATCCTAGCACCACCCTCCCTCATTTTTTCCCTCCACTGGGACCCTCTCGGAAAGCTGAGGACCAGCCTGAAGGCCTCAGAGAACTATGCTGAGGTCAAGGCATGGAGACTAAGCCAGTGGCCTTCCCTGGGGGGGAAGGCCCAGAGCTGGCCTCCAGCTGGCTTCCCTCCAACTTCCAGAGGCATCCCACCAGACAACAGGGACACGAACTGCCTGCCGAGAAACCCTATTTCCCACATGAGTAAGAGCCTTGCCTTAAGAGCAACCATTTCTGGGAGTTTCAGAAAATACGTGAATGGAGTCCCTAGCCTTTGGGGTATCCCTGGCTCAGTAGAGACGTGTCGGCTGCATGTTGGATCCACTTCGCACCCCACCAAGACCAGAATTCACATGTCTTGGTATGGCTCAGGAATGGGTGTTTTTAAAACCTGCTGGTGGATGACAGATCTGTTGGTGGAGACCCACAAAATACACTGAGAATCCACTTAAAGCACTGAAACACAGTTACCAGAATAACATGGCCTTGTGCACTGTCAACACCAGGAGGGAGCTCAGATGACACATGCCCCAACCTCTTCCCAACGCAGAAGGTTGAATGCTACCAGCTTTCTCTGTGAGAGGTGCCCCTCACACCGGGCTACCTCTCCCACATGGCAAGAAGATGCAAAGGCCCTGCTAAGGACAGGGCACTGGCCCAGCCACGAGGATGCCGTCAAAGGTGGAGGCCTCTACAACAAGACCTTCCCTCCCTACATAACCCATACCATTCCACTGTGTGCCTCCCAGTCTAGCAAGAGACTAGGGTCTGCCTGTCCCTCTCACTCCAGTAACACTGCAAGGTCCCTGGATCCAAGGCAAATCTTATGCCTGCTTGGTACTCTCCGACCCCCACAGAGCTCATCCTATAGAACTCTGATGATGGAAAGGTTCTACTTCTGCAACACCAACAGCAGCTGAGAACTGCATTTTTATTTTTTATTTAATTTTAATTGATTTTACTTAAATAGCCACATGCGGCTAACAGCTACTCTATTGAACAGCACAACATAAGAGTGATTCTTCACACTGCGGCCTTTGCCTGTGTGGGCACACTGGAAAAACACACAGGAGCAGGAGAGACTGAGCGAAGAATCCACCCACAGTAGATTTTCCCCTGGAGCAGAGCAAGGAACGTTGGAAGGAGATGTATGAAGTGCATCACACAGCCCTCCTCCCCGCAGAACACATAGGGGTCTCTTTCCCAAAGTACTACCTACAAACTTTCACCAAGAGATAAGCAGAAGAGTTGCGACAGAAAAGAATCAGGACTATGTCTGAGCAGAGCGACGAGCTGTGCAAATCAGCTGGACCAATCCCTCACTGTACAGATGAAGGTGAGGCTCAGAGATTACATAACTTGCATGAAAATCACAAATCATGGGGCTGGAGGTTGCTTCAGTCTCAGCCAACGTGGTTTTCACTACAACTTACTTCCTCGGCAGACAACAAATCTGTAGAATTAGCAGGAGAAACTGAGCTGTTTTCAATGCAACACCCATGAGACGTGGCAGAAATAAATTATTGACCCACGCCAGTAAACGAATGGCTCACCACAGCTCCAACGAAAGCATGGACACAGTTTCCCTGCCCCAATGTCCATGGAACCCCCACCAAGAGGGCAGGAGGATACTAGGATCAGATTTGATTTCTTCTTGACTCACAGAAACAATCTAATAAAGGTTTGTTGGCAGAGGAGCCCAGGAATGCAAGCCCTGAGATGCTCTTGCTCACCTACAGGGGTGTGAGTCACCTACACATCAAAATCTTAGAGATGCTGCCAGACCTTACAGCAGACTCAGCCCCCAACACACAAGAACTTCCTGCCCTCACCCGCCCAAGTAGTTTCCCCGGTCACTGCCCGGAAACACTACAATCCCACCTTGGCCGACCATGCATCTCATCCGCAATGGTGTCTGTCCTCTTCACCCAGTGCCCTGAGGTCTCCTTCAAAGACCTGCCCATCCTAACAACTACTAGCCTGTAAATACTCCAAGGTAATCAACCAGCTTTTCCGTTCATTGGATACAACCAGCATCCTCAGAACTGGGAATCTGTATTAGTAAGGACTGACCATGGCGGATACAACTCCCGAAACACAGCGGATTTCCTTGTAGGCCTCCATCTGTTGAGCCGTTATAAGACAGGAAACATGTCACCCTTTACAGATGTGAACATCCCCAGGAGGCACTGATGGGGGGGGGGGCGGGGAGGATTTTAAACTGCCTCCCAATCTCAAAATCACCCCTCTCACATCGCACCCCTGGGCCAACAGCCCCTTCACTTACTCGGAAAGGAGTACAACAGCTGTACTCCCCACTGAACTAAATGAGGCCCCGCGTCTGATGCCAATCTGTTGCTTCACTGTCAGCTCAGCCTTCGGGAGCCCAGCCCGGGCACCCAGGCGGCCCTTCTCTGCTCTGGCGTCGCACGCAGCTCTCTCAGCACTCGTCCCACCACACTGCCGCGATTTGCTGACAAGGCGCTTTCCTTGCCTGCCCCAGTCCCTTCATTTATCTGCGGCTCTTCAGGAAAACCGGCATCTGGGCTCCGGGGCTCTCCCTCCCCCTCAGTCTTCTCACCTGTATCCGAGGATCCAGTTCCTCCTCTTCTCTCGGAGACAATTTGGCCTCACTGCTGTTGCTCCCGCCTCCTCCGGGCTCCTCTGCGACTGGGCTCCGAGGGACTTCATCCTCCACCACCGCAGAGCGCAGCTCCCCCTGCGGGGTCTCCCGCGCCCCCGGAACCGGCCTGAACTCAGCCATGCCAACGGGGAGAGGGCACAGCCCTATGCACAAGAGAGGACTGACATGCTGGGACCAGGGCCCCAGCTTGGGGCTTCCCGGGCTCTGGGAGCAGGAAGAAGGGTTTCTCTTCTCGGCGGGTGGAAAGGGGCAGAGGAATAACCTCACACTGGATTAGAGGCCAAGATTCAAGTCGTCGGCGGGGCTCCTGGAGCTACAGCCTCGTCTGTGGAGAAGTCCTTCCCTGCCCGTCACGGGGAGTCCACCAGGGGCGACCCGGAGCAAGCGCTCCGAGGCGGGGGGCAAAGGGGGCTGGGATCCCGGGCCGAGGCCTGCGAGGAGTAGCACCATTCGGGAGGGCGGAGGCAGGCGCCTCCAGGCTGTGGTGGCAGCTGGAGAGGACGGCTGGGCCCGAACCGAGGCTGCGGGGCGACAGTCTCCGGGGAGCTGCACGGGCGACAAAGGCCAAGTACACGGGCAGCATCAGAACATACCGGGGCCACCAGACGCTTCCAAACCCTCGGCCTTCCGGACTCGCACATTCCGAGCACACCCACCGCCACTACTCCCCCAGCCCTCAAGAACTGCAGGTCCTACACCTCCCGCGTCCCAGCCCCTCCCCGACCAGCGCTTCCAGACCTGCCTCCGCGCTCCGGCCCTCTCTCCACCCTCCCCCTCCTTCCGCGCGCCCCCACTCCACCCCACCCCCGACCCCAGCTCTGCAGCTCACCTAGCAGCCCCCAGCCCCGCCCCACCTCGCTCCAAACCTGCGGACCGTCTGAGCCTCCCTCCTCCAACCCCACGCTCTCCCTCAACCCCCAAGACCCTGCCCCCAGTCCTCCTACACAGCCGGGCGCAAAGCCTCCACCCCCCGCGACGCAGAACCTTACCTCAGTTTACCCTCCCGTACACTGAGCTCCTCCACCGCAAACAATCTCCCCCCTCCCTCCCCGCAACAAGCCCGTCCAACCAAACGCGACTCTGCCGAGAGGAAGCGGAAATACATCATCCGCTAACACCGCCCCCCTGCCCTTCGCCCCTCCCCACACGCTCTCTGGTCCGCGGGGCCACGTCTGGGTTCCCGACTACCTCGTCCCCGCCCGGCCTTTGGTTTCCGTACAAAATGGTGCCCTACGGCGCTCAGGGTCGTCGCCGTACATCGCCTCCAGCCCATCTTCCACCCCAGCAGAATGAAACTGAAACATGAGCGTGTTTGCTGAGAAACACTGGATCGGCGAGGGAAGTCGAGATTCCCTGGCGGATAGGGAAGTGGTAGAAATAAAACGAAGACGGGACAATCGCTTCGGAGGGAGCGCTGACATCTTGCTTTACGCGCCGCGCGCAGGCTTCCGGAAAGCCACTTCCGGCCGCGCCCGGGAGGTCGGAAGCGGCGCCGGAAGTGAGCCTGTTGGCTCCCGACGCGGAGGCGGTGCGGCGGGTCGAGTCTTGAGACCAGCCTGCTCCGCGCTTAGGACGGGAGGTCGTCTTCAGCAGTGACTGCTCCCTCCGGGAAGTCAGCGATGCCCCAGCGACGGTGGCTCAGCGGACGGCTCTGACAGGCAATGTGTCTCCTGGGGGCCTCCGGCCGTCGCGGTGAGCCAGCCCCTCGGCGAGGCGCCCACAGCGCGTCGTCTGCCCGGCGAACAGCGGTGAGAAGCCTAGGCCGCCTGACCTCGGTGCTCAAAAGCCCGCGAGGACCTTGTGGTCCTGCCTTGTGCATCAGTGAAAGGACCCGAACGGCCCGTGGTCACTTCTTGGTATTGCCGGGCGAGCCTTACGGGAAGGCTTGAGGCCTCGGGTTTAATTTTTGCAGGAGCCACCTCAGGAGCTGCGCTGCAGTGGAGCAGGCGAAGGGACGGAGTCGCCTTTGCTTCCTTGGGATCTCCTCCCGCCCTTCCCTCACCGCGTGAAAAACCGCGTCCAAAGAAATGTAAGAAGTAGAGCCGAATATCGTCATTTAAAAGTGATTTGAGGGCGCCTGGGGGGCTCAGTCGGTTACGCGTCTGTCTTTGGCTGGGGTCGTGATCTCGGGGTCCCGGGATCGAGTCCCGCATCGGGCTCCCTGCTCTGCGGGAGCCTGCTTCTCCCTCTGCCTCTCTCTCTCTCTCATGAATAAATAAGTAAAATCTTAAAAAAAAAAAAAAACTGCCAGATTTAGCAAATAAAATACACAAGGTGGGGCGCCTGGGTGGCTCAGTTGGTTGAGCGACTGCCTTCGGCTCGGGTCATGATCCCGGGGTCCCGGGATCGAGTCCCGCATCGGGCTCCCTGCTCGGCGGGGAGTCTGCTTCTCCCTCTGACCCTCCCCCAGCTCATGTGCTCTCTCTCTCATTCTCTCTCGCAAATTAAAAAAAAAAAGTGATTTAAGGGCGTCTGGGGGGCTCAGTCAGTTACGCGTCTGTCTTTGGCTGGGGTCGTGATCTCGGGGTCCCGGGATCGAGCCCCGCGTCGGGCTCCCTGCTCTGCGGGAAGCCTGCTTCTCCTTCCTCCCGTTCCTGCTCGCTCTCGCTGTCTCTGTCGTGTCCCTCTCTCAAATAAATAGATAAAATCTTCTAAAAAATAAATAAATGATTGAAAAGATTTTTTCCACGAAGTTGGCAGTTTTATTTTGTAAGTTCTAGAAGTAACTTCTCCAGTGAGTCAGCGGGAAACGGAGTTAAAGCGTCTAAGTAGACGGATCTTGTGGACAGTAATCCCTGTCTTCTGTCACATTCCTTTTTGTTATTAAGGTAGCCAGGAAAATTACATACAGAAATCAGGAACAATGTATTTATTTGTTCTCTGCTAGTAACTTTAATTTTTTAAAACTGGAATGTCACTGTAATGACCCCGCTTGACCCACCATCCTCTGTCTGACCTAGCCTGAATTCTCCCAGCCTTTCCCGTCCAGCACTGCTGCAGTATCTGTCATCCTTACACCTTGTCCTGCGGGTCCTTCTCCCTGTGCATTCAGTCATGAGCAATGCTGAGCTGCCTCTAGCTGTCACATATTTTTGTTGCATTGGGTGGGATAACATCATGAACACACGTACTTTGCAGACTACTCTTAGATCACATCCTGAAGTTCACCAGCCTCCCTGATACCCCCACCTGCATTTCCTAGGGTTAACTCCCACTGAGACCGAATGTAATATCGTTGATTGTAATTTCTCTAGCAGTTTTTGTTTTGTTTTGTTTGTTTGCTGGATTTGGATAATGTTTCAAGTAGGAGGAGTTTGGGAGCAGTGCACACTGGCTTGTTTTACGGAGGCCAGCACAGACATGATGAATTAAAACTTTTTTCTAGAACAGCACTCAGCAGACTTACTGCAATGATAGAAATATCCTGTGTCAGCTCTGAGCAATATGGTAGCCACTAGCCACATGTGGCCGTAGAGCACCTGAAGTGGAGCTAGTATTATTAAGGAACAGCATTTTAAAATTTAATTCTAGGAGAGGCGCCTGGGTGGCTCAGTTCGTTGGGCGGCTGCCTTCGGCTCAGGTCATGATCCAGGGTCCTGGGATCGAGTCCTGCATCGGGCTCCCTGCTCGGCAGGAAGTCTGCTCCCTCTGCTACTCTGCCTGCTGTTCTCCCTGCTTGTGCTCTCTCTCTCTCTGACAAATAAATAAATAAACTTAAAAAATAAAGGTGACATTTTAACTCATGATAGAAAGTTTAAAAAAAAATAATTCTAATTTAAATAGCAACCACATATGGCTAATGGATGGCATCATTAGTTCTAGAGCATGCCTTTCCCATATCTCTTCCAGACACATACTCAGCTTTCACATCTTCAATACAAAACAAAGGTCTCTCCATTGTCATTTGTCTCCACTCCTCTCCCATTTACTTCTGCAGTCTAGCTTCTGCTTCTGTCAGTCCACAGAAATTGCAGACATAAGGTCATCATCCATGCTCTGAATATCACCAAATCACTGACATCTGATACTAGGTTATTTATTCTCTCTCATCCTTCTTTAGCTTCCGAGTCACCCTTGTCCTGGGTTTCCCCTTACTTCTCTGGCCTGTTGATTTATTCCTTCACATATTATGTCTTCACTGAGTGTCTACTATGTGCCAGGATTTTAGGTAATGAGGAAAAAGACACCTATTCCAGTTTGCATGTAGCTTATAGTCTGTGGTACTCATTTTATAAATCGGTGACAGTCAAACTAATTGGACCACAACCCAAAAATATGTTTTACCTTGTAACCCAATATACGTATATTTGTGTAAATATAACAAAAGTTTCAGGAAACAATCTTTACTCAAATTACATGCAAAGTATATTAATATTTTCTATACTCTTTTTTTTCTTTTTTTCTTTTCTTTTTTTTAATGCTGGTGGAGATCTATGTCACTGATTTCATGACCCACTCATGTTTGAAAACCTTACCCTGCATGCCAGGACTTTTCAGGCTCTGATGCTAGTCTATGACCATCTCATGCATCATGCAGCCTGCTTTCTCTGAGACCCCTTGCATGGCCCCTACCCATGGCTACTATTCCTTTCTTGGAACACTATCTCCACCCAGACTCCCCACAGATCACATTCTGAGATCCCGCAGCTTCTACGACCACTGGCCTTTGCAAGGGTTACCTCTCACTGAGTACAAATATTATTTCATCCCCTTTCCCAAATCCTGCTTCTGTATTTTGTTGCTGAATGGTTCTACCATCCACCCATTTACCTAGGGAGAAAGATAGAAGACATCCTAAATGAATCCACCTGTCTTCACTCTGCAGTACATTAAGTATCATTAGAGATCCCTCCTCTCCATTTGATTGCCATTGCTTCAGTTTAGACCTTCCCCACCTCCATTGTAGATAATGTACCTCAAGAATCTTCTTAAGATTAACTCTGTCCAATAGAACTTTCAACAGTGATAGAAATTTCTGTATCTGCACTGTCTAGTACGGTGTTCACTAGCCATGTGTAGGACTCTGGAAACTTTAAAATGTGGCTAGTGCAACTGAACTAAAATTTTAGCTCAGTCAGTGGAGCATGCAACTCTTAATCTCAGGGTTGTGAGTTCAAGCCCCATGTTGGGTGTAGAGATTACTTAAAAATAAAATCTTTAAAAATCACTAAGTAAGTAGCCGTATGTGGCTAGTGGCTAATGTATTGGATAGCACAGGTCTACGTGATCTCCCTGCCCACAAGTGTGCCCCCTTCCAGTCCCTGATGCAGATAAACAATCAACCCTTGTAGATTGTTACTGAATGAAATGTAAAAATATGAAAGCCACATAAAGATGTCAGTAACACCATCAGTTTCTAGATAGTATCACAAGTCAACTCTTTATCAGTGAAGTAAAATTTTCTCAAGCTTTTGTTTTTATTTTTTTTTAGAAACAGAGACTGTGAGTGGGGGTGGTGGGGGTGGGGAGGGGCAAAGGGAGAGGGAGAGAATCTTAAGCAGACTCCACACCCAGTGTGGAGCCTGATGCAGGGCTCAGCCTCACTATCCTGAGATCATGACCTGAGCTGAAATCAAGAGTAGGACGCTTAACTGACAGCCACCCAGGCACCCCATCAGGCTTTCATTGGTAACTTTTATTTTTTTAATTTCTTCACAGAAATACTCTAAATTACCTTCATCTTTAAAAACTTTTTTTGTGGTTAACTACCTTTCTATGTTCTTTGATTTTTTTCTCCACCTTGAGTTAAAGGTGTGATACATACCACCATCTCCTAATGAAACATAATAGTTTACTAATGTAGAGTGACAGAAGGCAGATCAGTGGTTGCCTAGCGGAGAGAAACGAGGGGGTACAAGCTGGTACACAGAAACTTGTGGGTAGTGGATGTGTTCTCTATCTTGATTGTAGTGAGAATATGATTTGTATATACATGTCAGGACTTTTCAAATTGTACATTTCACAGCGCAGAGTACTAACCACTGTAGGATCACCGTGAGCTACCAGGCACCTGTTCAAATTGTACATTTCAGTATGTGAGATTTTGTGTCTATTATATTCCAATAAAGCTTTTTTAAAAAATTTGGTTGGAAACTTGCTCTGAGAAATACATAATGTAAAATTTGCTAATAAATGTTAATTAAAGGGACAGCCTATATTACTAAAATCCCTGAATTATATGTACCCTTGTTAAACCTGCTGAGTTTTTGAGAAATAATTTTTCCCTTAGCTTGTCATCTCATTAAATAATAAAAACAGCCACCACACATGCAGTGTTAACCCTCTACCAGGTACTGTTCTGAGTGGGTTTATATCCTTGTTCCTCATGACAACTAACTGAAGTATATTGTACCTTCTTTTAAAAAAAAAAAAAAAAGATTTTATTTATTTATTTGATGGAGACACAGCGAGAGAGGGAGCGCAAGCAGGGGTAGTGGGAGAGGGAGAAGCAGACTTCCCACCAAGCAGGGAGCCCGATGTGGGGCTCGATCCCAGGACCCCGGGATCATGACCTGAGCCGAAGGCAGACGCTTAACGACTGAGCCACCCAGGCGCCCCTGTACCTCCATTTTTAAATTGAGAAAATATAAGGACTAGAGGTTAAATAACTTGCCCAAGATCATACTGCTGGTAAGTCATGGCACCAGTCTTTTGAGCTCAGACAGTCCAGGCCCTTAGGCACAATAATATACTGCCTCAATTAAGCTTTACACAGAAAAGTATTTAACATTATTTAAAATATTTTTAGGGGAGCCTGGGTGGCTCAGTCAGTTAAGCATCTGCCTTCGGCTCAGGTCATGATCCCAGGCTCCTGGGATCAAGCCCCACGTCGGGCTCCCCACTCAGCGGGGAGCCTGCTTCTCCCTCTCCCTCTGCTGCTCCCCCTGCTTGTGCTTTCTCTCTCTGTCTCTGTCAGATAAATAAATAAAATCTTAAAAAATAATAAAATATTTTTAGTAACACATGTTAAGTTTAAATGTACCTACTTAAATTTTAAATGCCTCAAAATCTGTGAAAGGAACCGAAATC